TTGATCTCTTAGGATTCCCCTCTCCTATTATTTTTGATGTGATTCTAATGTTCTTAGGTGAATGTCCTTAATTTTAAACTTACCTCAAGTAATTTTAAGATGGAGTTTCTTTCAACAAATGTGATTGTGAAGATTCCACCAAAGACTACTAGCAATTATTTTTCCTTTGCTGACTTTAGTTATGGTAATAAGGAGCTTTGTATTTCTTTTTCTTGGTCTATAGTTTATAAACCTAAAAAATTATATAAATCAGATGATGTGAAATATTTTATATATGCGGTTTTCACGTCAAGTCTGAATAAGAAAACATCTTATCATGGTTTGGTTTTGATTTAATTCAAATTTTTTATAAAACAAACACAAAATATGATTTGGTGAAATGTGATTGCACACACTTAGGTTTATATCTCTGAGATTATGACATGCGTTGTTTAAAGATGATGATAGTTACTTATGCAAAATTAACATTAACTGACAAATTAAGAGATTTTTGTTAAACTTTTTTGAGAAATATTAATTAGCCGTTTATCTAATTTACAAGAGGACTAAATTTCTACTCGGAACTCTATAACTATTTTTATGATAGTCCAAAATGTTATGCTAAACATATATGATCCCGTACAAAAGATCTGGATCCAATCCAAATAATTAGAGCTAAAGAGTGTAAAAACTAGATGCTCCACCGAAGAAAAAAACAAACATATTTTAATGACTAACAATTCTAGAATAATAAATTATTAACAAAATATCGATGGCAAGAATGTAATTATGAGGATTTTTATCAAGGTATCCCTATAATCAATCACCTCAAAATTATTGTGAGAACGCCACGTACGACAACTTAAACACAGTTATTAACTCTTGAGTAACATTATTAATATAAATTCCTGAATATATGTAAGACACAAGAAAGGCAATTTTAAAGGTCTCAGCTTTTAGTTATGCAGATGATGCAGTTACTGCAATAAGCAAACGACTCTCTTTGCTTTTACGTGTAGTCAAAGTAAAAATTTACCGTGTTGAAAACAAATTACTTTCAAACTTCTGAAATTAATGAAAATAGGAATTAATGCAAAGACTCCTTTACTCTAGTCTAAC